AGAGCATGAACGGGGGAGGGTCAGAGAGAGGGAGACACAGAATCTGAAACAGGCTCCAGGCTCTGAGCTGTCAGCACAGAGCCCGACGCGGGGCTCGAACTCACAGACCGTGAGATCATGACCTGAGCCGAAGTTGGACACTCAACCGACTGAGCCACCCAGGCACCCCTATTTTTTTTTTTTTAAACTAAAATAATTATTACTGGTACGTCGTGGTTCCTTATCGGTCCTGCCTGATCTTGAAGAAAAGCAGCAGTTAGGAACAAACTCACCTCTTCCCTAACTCCCTCCGCGCTGAGAAACAAGGAAGGGGTGCTGGAGGGAATTGGCTCTGTAGACAAGATTGCCGGCCCTTTGCACCACGCTGCCCACTGCACTTGGCCAGGCAGCCCTGGTGCTCGGGGCTCCTACAGTTGGATGGGCCCGTTGCCCTCAGGGCTTGACTTCCGTGAGGTGAGAAACCCTGCCCCAGGGTCCAGCTTGCTGGCTGTGCCACATCTCCCACGGAGAGATCCATATGCCCCCCCCCCACACCTTGCCTCTGGGAATCAAATAACTCTCAGATTACTCACTTTGTCAGGCTGTGCCTGTTACCATGACTTTTTACACATCGCCCCAGAGCTAACTCTCACTGCAGTTGTGGCCTTGGAACCACCCTGTTGTCCCTCTGGAATCTTCCTTTTCAGCTCTCTCTGCCCCCTCCTCACCTCCCACTGCAAGGGCACAGAGGTCTGCAAGCAGGTTCTGACTTCCTTCCTGCTTGTCATGGGTTGTGGCGAGCGGCTGCCGGGCCCGCATGCACGTCTCAGTAGTCAGAAGACAGGAAGGATGATGTTCTGGGCTCTCGAAGATGGTTTGGTGCAGGGGGGAGAGGGGCTTTTGAAGCAACAGGTCTGAAGAAGGAGCAGGGCAGGGGCCAGGGTGCTGGGGCGAGCAGGAAGAGAACTCCAGGGGTGGTTGTCAGGGAGTCTGAGGTGCCCGGGGGGACGGGGCATGCCCGCGGGGCATGCCCTCCCTGGAAGGTGGTATATCTTGGGTTTCTCGTGGGAGAGAGGGACGTGCTTTGCAGTCGGTGGGGAAACAGAAGAGGAACCGCCTTCTTGGAGAACCTGGTGGCAGGTGGAGGCCGAGCCTGGAGCAGACTGAGTGGGTTGGAGACACAGCCTTCTCTGCTGAGTTTCTAGTTCCCCAAAGAAGGTGGTCACCCCTCCCCAGACGTCTCAGGAAGGAAACCGTGACTCTCGTTGTGCCCGTTACTTCTGTTACTTTTGCCTTTGTCCCTTGGAAGGCAGATTGCCCCACCAGACCCACCACTTCCTGAGAAAAATCACGCAGGCTGGGTGCCTTACTGTTAAGTCCTGGGTGCGGGGCCCAGGCACGTCCCCTGTGTGAAGATGTTAGGGGGGCTGTCAAGGAGTATGGTTTGAAATGGCTGAAATGACCATCAGCAGCTGCCTGGAAAGGTGAGGATGTCACACAAGGGCCACGTGGAAGCCTGAGGGGCTGTGTACCTGTGCAAGGGGAAAGGAAGTGCTGGGTAGGCGAGCAGCTGTGGCCCAGTGGTTTTGCTTCATGATGGAGATGGAATGGCTCGGGGGGTCATGTGAGTGTCTGGGTCTATTTTCGTACCTGCCAACAGCCCCACTTCCTTCTTCTCAGCCTTGTGTGCTGCTTCCCTGAAGCAGTGCACAGCCCTGGCCACCCGCCAGTGCTGCTGGCCTCACAGTGCCCCTGAGGTCAGCCACGCAGTGTCTGCATACGCCTGGGGCTCCTTACAAAAGGCCCCCGAGTGTGCAGCCAGGCTTCCCGGCCTCGAGAGCTGGTCCTCTCTCTTTCCCTTCCGGAGTTATGTTCCTTCATTGCCTCCTGTGTGCCCTTTGTCCTGTCTTTGTGCTCTTGGTTCCTCCCCTCAGAACTGGAGAGAATCACTTGTGCTAAGATGGAGGTGAATTCTGTAGCTTTTTTTTTTTTTTT